TTGTAAACAACTGAAAGTATTTTTAAATCCAACTTAATGCATTGGCGTTCTGAATAAATGCCTGCAAGGAACCTGTTTTCAAAAGTGGTTTTGTTTTTTTTTACCAAGCATTCAACATAGCAACATATGCTACTGAAAACATAGCCATTTGGCAGCATGAACTCAGAACGCAGGTTGCCCGTCTTGCTCTAAAAAAATAGCAATATAAAATTCCCTCTTAAAAAGTACCATCATGAAATGTACAGGATCTGTGAGCAGAGTAGAACCTGCACTTACTGGAGCTGCGGTACAATCCCGGAGCTTTCGGAAGCAGGGGTGGCAGGCGTTATAGGAGTCATGGGAGTCATTGGAGAGGGGTAGAGAGGCGTGGTTCCTGGTAAAGGAGCAGTCGTGAGAGTCTGTGAGTGGAAGAGCTGAGGGGTTTGACCAGATGGTGCTTGTGTCGGTTGTGAAGTGGACTGCTGTGCTGCTGCTTGCTGCTGCTGCTGCTGCCTCTGTTGTTCTTCCAGGATAGATAAACTGTTGGTACTCTGAGCAGGTTGGGGTGTGAGCCCAGTGCCGTAGGGCATCATAGGACTAAAAATAGGGATGCCTGGAGTCATTGCACTCTACAAAATAAATACAATTTTAAAAAAATCAAAAGTCTACAACATACATGAACTATCATGAACAAGATTAGGAATCTGCAGAGTTATTTAAGGAATGGCTGTTGTATTCTGGATATCTTGCAATAGCAATAGCACTTATATATCACTTCATAGCGCTTTACAGCCCTCTTTAAGCAGGGCTTACAGAACCACCATATTGCCCCCAACAATCTGGGCCCTCATTTTACCTCATGCTCCCTCCCCTGGGATCCCGACAATTGCTCCCCTGCCCAATCCTGCTGTGTCAGGTCACTTACCTTGTGAAGATCTGTCTCCTCTCCAGCCTCTCTGTTTCTTTCCCTGCTCCTGGCAAGAGCAGAGGGAGGCCTTCAAGGCCCAGAACGGACCTCCGGAGGCCCGTGGAAGCATCCTCCAGGCTCCTTTCTGGGCGACAGCAGCCCGGAAAAGGCGTCTGAGGCTCAGATTGGGCCTCCAGAGGTCCAAAGAAGTGTCCCCCAGCCTCTTTTCCAGTCATCAGCAGCCTAAAAAAGGCCTCTGATGCTCGGATCAGGCCTCCAGAGGTCTGTGGAAGTGTCCCCTGGCCTCTTTTCTGGGCAGCAGTGGCCCGGAAAAGACCTCTAACACCTGGATCAGGCCTCCAGAGGCATGCGGAAGCCTCCCCCGGCTTCCGCTCTGTTGTTATCTGTTGCAGAGGCCTAAAGTACCGTGAGATCAGTAGCATGAGATCTCACGCCACTGATCTCACGTGTTCTTGCATTACATTAGGCCTCCATTCTCTGCGAATGCACCGAAAGCCTGGAGCAGCCAAGAAAGCGAAGGATCTCGATCTTCGCAAGTTGAGTATCCAAGGCTTAGTGCCTAGGTAGTCTCGGGGTGGAGTGGGGCGAGAGAATAACCAGAGTGAATGTTGCAGTGCCTCTGCGGTCATTTATAAGGGTGAACAACTGCCGTGGTGTGACAACATTCAAAATCATGTCCCCCCTCGTCCTTCTCTTCGTTAAACTAGACATACCCAATTCCAGCAACCGTTCCTTATATGTTTTAGCCTCCAGTCCCCTAATCATCTTTGTTGCTCTTCTCTGTACTCTTTCTGGAGTCTCAGCATCTTTTTTACATCGTGGTGACCAAAACTGGATGCAGTATTCCAAGTGTGGCCTTACCAAGGCATTGTAAAGGGGTATTAATACTTCACGTGATCTTGAATCTATCCCTGTTAATGCAGCCTAGCACTGTGTTGGCCTTTTTGGCAGCTGCAGCACACTGCTGGCTCATATTTAAGTGATTGTCCACTAGGACTCTGAGGTCCCTCTCACAGTTACTATACTATATTTTAATAGACAGTGATAAGCTGTTAATGCTGAATAATACTTGCTGGTGATGAAGGGGGAAGTTTCCTTTTCTTACCGTTTAGTTTCTTGGGGGGGGTCTTTCACTTTTTTTCTTTTTTAATATATGTTTGTATTATATTTTTATATCAATTTTATTTGATCAAAATAATATTTAATAAAACCATTAGAAAAAAATTCAAAGAATAAAGAAGGAGAAAATACTTTTTGTTCTGGTTCCAATAAGAAGGTTGTAAAGCCTTAATATAGAGGGACAAAAATCAAGAAATATGTCCATATGTATATCTGAGGCAGATAAACCTGAAGAGTTAGCTGTCAAGCAATTATTGTTCTGTTCATGCCAAGAGTTTCAATAATGAAAATTGTACAACAATAAACAGTTCTTACTGCTTTCATATCCATCACTCATGTCATTGAAAAGATAAGAGATAAGAATTAACAAAAACTTGTCCTAACCTGCAGAGAGGCTGGCATGGCAAGTAACAACCAATCAAATATTGAGCTATAAAGAGATTATAAACAAGGCTGCTTTAAAATTCAGGGAAAAGAAACAGCAAAGAAAGGTTAAAAAAAAAGTGGAATCCACAACCCATTCAACACTACAGGTCTCTAAAAACTGTTTTGAAAATTTTGATTTTCAATAAGTTCATTAGTTTATATATATATATATATATTACCTGTGGGGATGCTAAGCCCTGAGCATAGGGTGGTAAACTGTTGTTTTGATCCATTGTAGCAATCAAGTAAGTGTCCAGTCAAATGAGGATTACTTCCAGAAACTAAATCCAGAAATCAAGCTTCACAACATCTGCCTTAAGGAAGTAGCTTTCCTTGAAGCATCCCAAAAACTAGTTTGCAGTCTGTATTGACATATTTGATAAAACATCAAGTATATAAAATAAAGGTTCCAGACCTGAAAAAGATAAAAAGTCTCAGATTACTATGTTCAAGTAAAATTCATAACATACATTACTGCTGTGCTGGAGTAACTATTTTTTCACAGACAAACTAATGCTATCAAGTTTGTTGTTTCCAGCACCACAGGAATGGGATTCAGTAATTAGTTATATAAGTTAATATACACAAAATGTCAATTAAAAATCTGCAAAGATAAATCTTTGCAGCTTTCATTTAAATGTACGGTATTAGTGCAATATAACATTTAAAATCATAGCAAAAAGTACATAAGGAGAGTACCTGTTTGTGGTGGGGGGTTTTCCCAGAAAATGGGGGAAAAAAAATTACATTACCCAAGACTGAACTTTGAAAACAAAGGGTATACACATTAAAAAAAATTAACTTTTAACTTTAACTCAATAATGCCCTGAATTAAGGAATATAGTTACAGTTTGGAAGCATAACAAGGAACAGCAAATCGGTTTGTCACAGTTTGTTACTTTTATAGTCCATTGTAACTACTGAGAACAAACCAACCAACCAAACCCAGAAATGTCAAACACAAGGCCCGGGGGTCGGATGCGGCCCGCGAAGTGGTTTCATGTGGCCTGCGAAGCCATCCTGGAAACAGTGAGGGAACGGCCCCCACTGCCTTGGCCCTGGCCCAGGCCGGCCGGGAGCCAATGTACAATTTTGTGGTGGCCATCTATGCTGAAATGCATTCAGTCTTAACTCCACAAGGCCGCCTGGAACCAGCGAGGAACCAGCCCCTGCCATGTCGGCCCCGCCCCCTGGGTGCATGCTGGGGAGGTGTCACCCTTTGTGAGGAATGAAGAAATGGACCATGCCTTGGCGCTTGCTCCGGTCCCACCCCCTTCTGCCAGAGACCCTCAGATCTGCCCCACTCCTGCCCAGGCCCCCACAGGCACCCTTGACGCGAACAATGTAGAGCTGGCCATGCCCCCCCAGTAGGCCACACCACCCTGGCCACCCCCCCCCCCGAGGGCAACCGCAATGCTGATGTGGCCCTCAATGAAATTGAGTTTGACATCCCTGAACTAACCTAAAAAAGATGAAATAAATTTCTATTAACCATTACCAAACTGTTTCCAAAGAAAAAAACAAAACTTACTGAGTAAATTAAAAATACTTAAATTAGTTTTATCCTATTTTGTTATTTCACGACTGTCTAATCTACCTTCTCTTGAAGCAAATTTCTAGGCAGAAAGGATCTTGCCCAGTCCTTTCACTTATATCATGCATACAACCATTTTTCTTTGCATACATTTAGCTAGAAAAGGTGAGGTAAACACAGCCAAAGTAAGGTAAAACAAAATATTGTTACGTTTTTTATTTATTTTGTGCCAACTACTTTAATAGCAGCGATTCTTGAACCGTGTTTCATGGAGTGGTCTGCTGCAACCTTCTTGAATTCACCAGCCACAGCCTGCGCATTGTTTCAAATTGTTGCCTCAACTTATTGCCTCCCAAGCCAGAGTGTGTTCATCACCTCAGCTCTCACTTCCCCATTTTGAAGACTAGTCACTGGCTTGCAAAAACGGATTAGTGGCTAAAAACTGGTTTATTAACATTTGGAAAACTGATCGTAATAAAAAGGTCTCAAGCACAGTTCCTGACAATGAGTCCACCTGTGCTGTGTTAAGTGGCACTGTGATTTTGCACAAGCAGTTCCAAAAGAAAAGAGCAAATAGGAAATAGGATGATGAATACCTAAAAACAGGGCTTCATTGGAATGGGAACCTAGTCATTCCTCCACCCTTAGCTCCTCAACATATTTACTGAAGAATGCATTTGACAAAAAGTGTGAAGAATTTTTTTTTGTAATGCCATAAAATAATTGAAATAGTAAATAAATGTTTAATGTTTAATATTTGGTACCGAATTTGGTTTAAAAGGCCTTTAAAAATGAAGGAAATGGCAAATATGCATACATGCAACTAAAAGTATTTCTTCCCAAATATGTGTAATGACTTTAAAGACAAAAATGTAGAGAGGGCTGGATTCACTGGATGATTTTCAATTACAAAATAATTAAGAAACACTGGCTAATAAGTTAATGCCTGATTACTCCAAGTAATTGATAAACCTAATGCAAAGGCTCAGTAAAACAAAATATCAAAATATTCTTAGCAGTAACTGTTTCAAGACGTGGTGTTCTGGCCTCAAAAGGTCTCCTTTGGGGTGAGATCACTCCCAGAACACACTGAACCAGTGCTGATCTAAAGGATGTATTTTTTGCTACTGCTGAATTACCCCAGGAATAATTCACTCCAGAAAGAATAAATATAGCAGCAAAAGGGGCAAATGAATATTGAACATAGTGTCCACCCTTTTGGCTTGCCTGGGTTGCATTAAGTGAAGAGGAATTGTCACAGGCCACATATAAAATATATAATTAATGTATGTAAATCACATAACAATGTTAAAAGTTTATTATCTTGTGGAGCCACCGCATGCAGCCCATGGGCCATAGATTGGATAGGCCTGATATTGAGTGTGCATTTATAGAAATGTAGTAACCATAGGGAAGTGTTCTACATACTTTATTCTCCATGAGGCAAACTCCACTTTGAATTTATGTGACCCATACTGGACAGCGCACTTAAAGAATGATTTAGACTGATTAAAATTGGTTCACAGAAGCATAATAAGGATGATTCAAGGCTAGAATTAAGACCAATAAAGAAAGGTTGAAGGAGCATGAGGACTACAAAACAATGCAATACCACTCTTCAAAACCTGAAAGTATACCACAGAGAAGAAAATTAAGACTTACGGTCCAGAACATTGCACATAGAATAACAGATTTAAGTTACAGGAAGACATATTTTGATTTACAAAATCTTTTTCTAACAGAAAGAACAGTTTAACCAGGAAACTGATTCGCTTCACCAAATGTGTTTTAAGATAAGCCTAACCAATGATTGGAGATGATTAAATTTGAATTCCTACACAAATCATGAGTTGATCAATGGACTATGTGACTCCATCTTAGTCTAAGATTCTAACACCATTTTAATAAACAAGACTTGATTAAGTAGGCCTTTGGATTACTGTACATAGTTCAATTAAATAACTCATCTGTATGTCACTCTTAGCTAGTATTCTGAAGAATTCTAGCTTATCATGACTAGTTCAGTCAGTCTCTTTGTGGTGTTCCTTTTAGCAGAAGGTGATAAAGAATCCAAGAAATCTTTCATTGCATATTTAGCACAAATGGAAGAGAGGATCCTTGTCACTTTCTCCCATCCAGAACAAGTTATAAAAAATCAAGAACTATGTTATCAATTCTAATTTGTTACAAAGGTAGCACAAGAATTCTCTATTGCACCTACTAAATAAATCACAGAATCTATAGTTTGTTTAGTCATCCCCATTAGAACAGCCAATTTATAATAATATTCATTCCCACTACTACCGGTAGGAGAAGTCATTTTTTAAAGAATTATGATTTAACACTGCAGCAGTGAAAATGAAAAATCAAATTTAATGCTTATTCAATTGGATGGATAACTTCAATAATGATCTAGCTAAAAACCATAAATAAATCAGTACTTTAAAAATCTCTTTCCATAAATATTTCTATCTGCAAAAAATGTAATCAGAATGGAAAGGTCTAAATATCCTACCTGTAAAAAGTGAACAAGAAAGTGTGACAAACGGCAAATTCCAATAAAGGAGAATATTTCTAGTTCAGGCTTGAAATGACTGGTTTTTGGTGACCTCTGACCTTGGTTGTTTTCTGGCAGAGGTTTCAGTACCCAAACCAAATATCATCAGTGCTAGTAAGAACTGGAGTTTGCTCTCAATGTATATTCTGGTGGCATGCCCTGCTGGTGGGAGTGGTCTTGGGAGATTCTTTGGTTGGGCTTTTCGCTGTTATCTTGTTTTGCACTTCCTTGATTGGGGTATTGTTTACTTCTTGATTGTTGGTCTGATGTTAATCTTGGTATTAATTTATGCTCATCAGAGTGATGATTGCAGGTGGGGAGATGTTTTGGGTTTTTTGTTCCCTTTTTGGCTTGTTGACTGTTTCTTTTGCACAGCATGTAGATGTTGTTTATGTCTAATGATGGCCAATTTCTAAGAATTCTCTAGACTTTTTGGACTTGGCTTGGTCTAGGATGGTCAATTTGCCAGCTGAAACTATGACAATAAGTCTTAACCAATTACAAGGCAAAAAGGGAACAAAAAAACCAAAATACCTGCCCACCAGCAATCAATACCCCAAAGAGCATAGATTAACATCAGGATTAACATCAGACCAACAATCAAGAAGTAATCAATACCCCAATCAAGGAAGTGCAAAACAAGATAACAATAAAGGGCTCAACCAAAGACCCTCTAGGACCACTCCCACCAACACAGATAGGGCAAGCACTGAGGTTACTAGTTTGGGTAAGGAAACCTCTGCAAGAAAACAACCAAGCTCAGAGAAAACCAACGACCCATCAGCAAAATATTCTAAATTCAAAGGGACTTATTTCTCGTTTATGTATGGTTTTGTGTCTATAAGCAACATTAACCATAGAATTTATACATGCAGAGGACTAAATTATAAAAAGACCTGTTACACTTTGGTTACATTTTATCAATATTTGGAAGAATGTATGTACTGGCATTAATATTTAAACTAATATGTCTGTAGTTTAAATGGGATTAAGAAATCTCATGTATTTCTCTAATTTTTATCAAACACAAAATCAAAGCAAATATTAAACTGCCACAATTAAGTCTACAGTTTTACATTTAAAACAATATATAAATTTATTCTCTTATTCTCAGTTTCACGAGAAAACCAAGCATGACTAAGCTCACTGGTGACAATTAACCCCTTCATTTCCCACAGAATCTCTACATTTTGACCAATTATCTACAGCGGTTTCTAAAATATTGTAAGAAGATAACAAGAATGCTTCTAATGTATAGTAGATTCCCAAAATGGATAAGGGATCACAACAGAAGTGGTATAGGATTTTGC